CGGCGACCGTCCCAGGCTCGGCCATGGGCTGAACAGGAAGAAGAGTTCTGACTCCGAGACACGAGAGACGATGCAGCGCTTGTGGTTAAGAGCAAACATTGATGATCGCCGTGACACGCCGCGTTGATGACACACTTGGCTTTGTTGACGGCAGGTTCGGCCATGCTCATGGAAGTACTAGTCGGGAGGCATTTTGAAAGGTGTCTGTCTCTCCACCGAGGCTCCAGTGCAAACACATTTTGAACGTTGGCGGTAATTTGTGTGGTCCAGTTTACTGTTTGTCTCTTGCTTGATCCACCATCTCGGCTGTCAACTTGATGCGAATTCGCCAGCAGCATTCCCGTTTCTGGCGAGCAAATTACTCAATCAATCTTTCAGGCTGAGCCCGGCCGAATGCCGACGCGGGGCCTTCCAAAATCCAGAAGCTCCCGTGACGCGTCACTTTCGTCTTTCTTTCTTTCCTCCCTTTCCCTTTCCCGAGCTCGCGCTGCATTATGGCCAAAGACGACGGAGGCATCAGTATTTGGGAAGGGAACGAGACCGTGTGGCACGCATGGGAGCCAGAGTGTGACTCATGCGGTCGTCGCGAGTCCTCTTTGCGTGGCAAGAAGCAGCTCCTTTCTTGTTCTGGGTGTCTCGTGTCAAAGTACTGCTCTGTGCGTCTTCACAGACTATCCAAGCCTCCCTTCTTACACTCCGACAGAAAGAATGCCAGAAGAAGGATTGGGGCGACAACCACAAAAGCCAGTGCCACCTTTTCGAGGCGAATAGGAAGCTTTCGAGCGTGTTTGCTAAATCCTTGGGTCCGGGGTAAGTGTTGACTCACAATGTACGGGGTCCCTCTTAACGCTCGTCCTCACAGCACGCTCAACGATCCCAAGCTCAATTGGGAATCCAAATTGAATGAATGGTAGCTCCACGGTTTTCGCACCCTCTCATTTGCTGAATCGCTGTAGGAACTTTTTGAACGTGGCGAATCATTTTGTCATCGCATCCGCGGCTCTGAAGAACGACCCGGAAGTCGCCGCCAAGTTCAATATCGGCCTTTTGATTTCCGTCTCCGAAGAGCATGTCGGGTCCAAGTACGAGAATCGGACCTTCTTCATTGACCGTGTGGTGCTGCTTCAGCGGGAGGCGAGCGACGCCACTGCGTTCGAGTCTACATGGGAGAAAGGGTCGTATAAAGATACGGTGGCGGCCGTGAAAGCCTTGAAGAAGCACGACAAGGAAAATTTCAAGGTCTTTGCTGGTTGGTGCTCGTTCCCGGACGGCACAAAGTCCGGATCCCAGATGTGGTCATTCCCGTGCTCCGATGTTGCGGACGAGGTTCTGCCGCCCGGATTTGACCTCAAACGCTACGTGCCACACGTTAATCGCGGCGTAACTCACTTTCACGCATCCTTTTGGCCCCTTCCCCGCAACATCTCCGACGCCGACTTGGAATCTGCCGAGGCACCGGAAGCGCTCGCCGACTACACCGCCCGTCAGCATCGTATGCTTTCCGGTCTCAAAAGCGGGCAGAACATCATCGGACGGTACGATGCGGACGGTACCAAGACTCCCCTTTTCAAGTTTTGTAACATCAATGGTCACTTCCGCCCTTGCGCACCTGGAGAGACGGATTTTGATGGACCGATGGAGTATAAGAAGGCCTTGGAGAATCCGAGCAGGATGGTACGCGTTCTTTCAAAATATTTGGACGAGTATGAACAAAGTACGCCCGATTGATCCTTCTTGACCGATCTCTGACTGCTGACAGAACACCGCGAAAACTGGCACGAAGGTCCCAACGCGAAGAAGATTTTGGTGCCGAATCCGCCCTCGATGGAGCAAGCAATAGAGGATGCAAAGAAATTGATGTGTCCTGGACGTTGTTAGACTACTTGTGTCGATGTTTTTCTTGTGCTCAATGCCGATTCAACCGCTCTTTTTTTTTCTGGGAACGTGCGGGATCAAATATCCGCCACTTTCAACCATTTTGATTCAACGTCCTGCGGATATCTCAAGACCCAGACCGCCGGATATGGCTACCTATTTTTCTCCCGCTGCCTGCGCAAATTGCGTTTGAATGATAATACAAATGAGTACGTGCAGGCCACCAGCTGCAATGTCCAGACCACAAATCGGAACAATAGATAGGGGGTAGCAACGAACTTCTCGCGTTGATATCCAGTGGACGGTTGCCAGCCTCGATGGAGAGGAAGAGCTTGAATGAACTGAACTGACGTCTAGGAGCCCGGGCGGCCGTCTGTCAGTCTACGCTCGGTAGCAGGGGAGGGGATGTCTATCGTGCTCCCGTCCGCACGTGCACTAAAGTCCGACTCCCGCTTGGCAGCGTCTGCGGTCGGTGCCCCGGCCTCCACGTCACCGGGTGGTTTGCGAGTACGACCGTGTTTTTGGTACTGCGCAAAGACCACGACGGTCAAGCCCGCGAGGATGACGAAGGTTCCTGCTGCGACGGCTGCCCCAATGGGAAAGGTCTGGCTGTAGAATTATTTTATTCAGCAAACGCAGCTTTTGCTTCAAGAGTGTAGACGAACCTTTGGGGGGCGGATGCCGCGCCCATGGTGCCTGTAAAGACGAGAGTCTAGCTCGTCGACCTACAGCTGAACGTTGAGGATACAAGCCCAACTTGGCGGCCTCAGGACGGAGGGTGGTGGGGGGTGCTTAGGAAAAGCTTAAGAATGTATGGTACGCACACACATGCTTTATGTAGTATGCTCCAGGGAGCAAAGATGATAGGACGCACGATGATTTTGTTGCAACCATCATTGCTCTCAATACGGATGATTTTCTGTCAGTGACGGAAGGGAACAATTCGATGGCAACCGGCTTGTTGGTTGAACGAGATTGAATTTAATTGCCGCGGTCTTGAGACTGAAGGAATGTCATCTTGATACCAATTTCGGATGGACAGTTCAACTGGAGACGTTGACGACCGAGGTTGTGATTTTCCTGCTGATCAGGAAGAGTAAGAATGTTCGATGAACTGCGGGAATGATTCTTCTATTCAAGGAATGAACGGGGTAAACATATCTTGCGGGAAGACAAGCACGAGCATACATCCTACTTAGAATCTCCGACTCTAAGAATTACTGATCAGAATCCGAGGAGATGGTTCAGAAACAGGTCCGTACCAGCGCACCCACACTATCCGCGAGCTCAGCCCACTCATCCTCACCCATGCCTATACAATTCTTCTTCTCTACAATATCGAGCCGCGAAATCATGCATCCACGCGCTGCCGAGTTGCGCACGAAAGTTAGCAGTGCATCTCGGGCACCTGGGTTTGGCGTGCTCGCCACGAGACGGATGCTCGTAATGCGCGGATTTCCCAGCAGCTGGAGGGCACCGCAGAGGTGCTGAGTCGCGGCGTTGAGCTGCAGAGAGAGTGTATGGAGCGTGGGGAGGAGAGGATGGATTCCCCCCCATGACGTGCGTGGGACGTAAAGTGCGTGCCCTGCGTCGAGGTGGGTGATTGCGGGGAGGAGATCGAGAAAGGCTAGAATTAGCGCGTGTGCGTGCGACTCGTTGGGGGGCGTGCAGCTGATGTAAAGGTGGGTGTCGGAATCGACGCAGTGTCCTGCGGACAGTGCAAGGAAGTTCTGCGAGATGCGCTGGATTTTCAGAAAATGGAGGCTGGGTGCGTCAGCCATACGGAGATGTCGACGGAGAGGCGTGAAGAGCGGGGAAGCGGCCGCAACGTCGTTGGCGTAAAGCGCGAGGCTGACAGTCGCGGGAAATGCGAGGTGGTTGAGGAGCTGAGCGCAGCTGGCCGCGCTATCGCTGATATGGAGGGACTGGAGCACCGGGAGATAGACCATCTCGAGAGCAGAATCTGTCATCTCGACGACACCTGCTAGATTAAGATTCCGCAGACCTGGCGAGGCTCTGAGGGTGCTGCACAGGAGCTGGAACGACGGTGGAGCACAAGTACTGCTCTCTGGGCATGACCACAGCGTGAGGTCCGCGAGATTATGCAGCGAGGACCACCGTAGCAGAACATTCCTTAAAACAAGGGATGCAAGCCGTGGTGCCCGCTGGAACAGTTGATCAGGGAATTCGACGCCGGGAGTTGAATCACTGGGCGATAGGCTCAGTCGTTCGAGGATCGGCAGATCGTAATTGGAAAGCTGATGGACGACATCCAGGATAGGCCTTTCGTGTCCGTTGATCTCGAGGTCACGAAGCCGATGTCGAGATTTGAGGAGGGCGTCGGTAAAGTGGGGGGAATCATAAGACCAAAATGTAATCGTCAGCGGCGCCTGGCCAGAATGGTCTATCTGTCCGAGTAGTCGATGAAGATCGCCAAAGGAGATCTGTATAGAGCTCCACAGTCGATGGTAACCCAAGACGAGGTCGTGCCAACCTCTGCACACGAGCATGAGGCCAAGCAATCCGAGGTTGTAGCGCGAACGCGCGCCCATGGCATAGAAGGCGAAGATGGTACAAAGAAGCTCGTTGGGAAGTGAGGAGAGACTGGCCATATCTCTCGATGTGTGAGCCTTGGACAGGTGCTGCGCGATCTCTTCATCCAGTCTGTGGACTATTTATCTGCGGTCAAGGGAAAACGAAGAGTATAATACCGATTAGTCTGCGATTGCACGCGGTTTTCGTCCAGAGGCATCGTGGTGGAAAGGATGGACGTCGCAGCTAGAAGTGGCGCCGGTCACAGAACCGCCATGACGACACCTGAACGAATGCGGCCAAAATGCGGGCGTTACAAGCTTCCTTGACGTGCAGGTTGCGTGCAGGCGAGGTAGTGGATGCCATACTATGCCATGGCCGCCTTGTAGCCGCCACTTCGCCGCCACTGTCCAAGTAAGTTTTGGTCCGGGGAGAAGTCTACATTTTCTGGTATGGTGGACTGAGCTGGCGGCCAAGGGTCGGTGTCGCGGAAGAGAGCAGTTGGGTTACAATGCCTCAAAAGGGTTTCAGGGACTCGTCTGCAAAAGAAAAGGCACTCAGCATAGGTCTAATTGCCGAGAACCTCTCAATGTGGGCACGTGGTGTAGAGGTTTATCACTCTTGCTTTGCAACGGTTCGACGCCTAGTGCGAATGGTTCAATTCCCAGCGTGTCCATATTGTTCGTTTTTTGCTGGGGGCGCTTTGCTTCATGGAGCCACCAAGGAGTCACTAAGGATGCAGAGCACTCTGCAGATCTTAGAAGGATGCAGGATCATCGATATTGATCATCGATCATCGATCATTGCATTGATGGCATTGAACCCTCTTGTACTCTCTCCGACTCCTCGGACTCGGCGACACTGATCCATGCCCGAGTGCTGACTCGGCGACACCGATACTTGCCCGATTGCTGACTCGGCGACCCGGATCCTTGCCCGACCGTTGAATACATACTCATCATCCGCTTCTCCCAATTCATCATCTGCCTTCTCCCATGACAATGACTGCTCCCTGGGACGCATTTTTTCGCTCCTTGCCTCCAGCACCCCACATTGACGCCAAGAAAATCCGTGGCAACGTTTCGGACGAAGCAAAGCAATTGAGTGCGAATACTTTTGCGTACTTTACCACTGGCAGCGGGCTCTCGACCAACGTCCCCTTTGCGAGCGAGATTGGTGGTAGGCTTCGGGTGGTGGAGGCCAATGTGAGGCATGACGACAGAACGGGGGACGCAGAGGCCGAGATCATCGTGGAAATCGAGGTCACCGAAAGTGAGTGGCAAAAACGTCGTGTTTCCGAGTCCATCGACTGTTTCAGGCATGTGTAATGTGTATGGCACGATGCATGGCGGATGTGCCGCATTCATGCTAGACCCGTGCGTCGCCTTTCTTCTGCGCGGATATGTAGTAATGCCCTCCTGCTTAGATCCACCGTCTCCTCGGCGATTCTGCTGGGTCTAGTCAAGGGCTTCGATGGTTCCGGGGTATCGCAGAATATGAATGTCCATTGGCACCATCCAGCACCGCTGTACGCGTTGCACGCGCAGTTAGCTCATACTAGGCTGATTTCGATTTTTCTTAGCGGCACGACGTTGGTGATTACCGCACGCTCTGTCTTTGCGGACGGCCGCGCGAGGCTTTCTCGGTGTGAGATGAGAGACAAGAGCAGCGGGAAGCTTGTCGTGTCTGGCACCCACACGTTCCTCAACGCCGGGAGAGCGGTCAAGCTTTGAACTTGTGAGTCTAAGGACACGTATTTCAACTGTATTATCCTGGCACTGACTCGGGGTGAGCTAGAGTCTTGTTTCTGTATATAGAATGTGTTTCTTGGAAGAGAATGATTCGGGCGACCCCGTCGTCGCTGTCTCGTCCGCTAGTCCGCTACCCTCGGCACGCTGGTGGCGGCGGCTGACCTTGACACAATGCCGCACTTGCACGGCACGGGCCGACCCTAGCCTGGAGCGCCAACTTGGAACACAACCCAGTTCACCATTCCTCTCTTTCCCCTCAATGTCTTCCAGCTGGCACTCGTTCCAACGCTCCCTGCCCCGCGCGATTCAATCCGACGTCAAGAATATCAGAGGCAACATTTCGGAAGAGGAGAAGCAGATTTGGGTCAATATCTTTGCATTCTTGACCACCAGCGGCAAGGAGCCGTATTGCAGGGATATTGGCAGTAGGCTAGAATTTTCTGAGGCGAATGTGTGGGAGAAGGAGAGGAAGGAGCCGGCGGCGGAGGCAATTTGGGAGATTCAAGTTACGGAGGGTGAGTGTCTTTTTCACTGTCACTACTCTGAAACTTTTTCACGCAAGCAGAGATGTGCAATGTGTATGGAAAGATGCATGATGGGTGTGCGGCGTACATCGTTGACTTGTAAGTCAAGTTCTTGGCTTTGGTACTTGAGGTTTACTTGAGTAGAACGACCATCGCTGCATCAGTTCTGCTCGGACGAACCAAGGGGTTCGACGGTTCGGGGGTCTCGCAGAATATGAACATCCATTGGCATCACCCGGCCCCGCTGTGCGTGAATTCAGATTGAACTCTCTGATACTTACGTATCGTATTCTAGCGGCATTACCCTGGTCATAACCTCGTGTTCCGGAATAATAATATGTGCTAACCACACTTGCTTTCACGTCCGACGCTTCTCCGCCGCTGTCGTCCGTCACCGCGGATTCCCTCTGTTCAAATTCGTGTGTTCATCCATGCTGGGTGCGCGTTGAATGATGATTTATCGCATCTCCGTTTGCCGTCCGATAAGTTTGAGTTGCGGTTACGTTTCCTTGGAACATATAATCCGGTCTCGGGAGCATTACTGACTCTGCTTGACCCCATGACCACCGCTTGGGACTTGTTCCAGCGCTCGCTGCCCCCCGCACCAAACGTGGACGTCAAGACCATCAAGGGAAATATCTCAGATACGGACAAGCAGATCGTTGCCAACATCCTGGCCAGCTTTATTACGGGAAATGGACTGTCGGAAACCCAGCCATTCTGCAGTGAGATCGGGGGGAAGCTGCGGGTCGTCGAGGGTTGCATTGATACCGAGTTTGAACTCAACTTGTACGGTCATCAGCGGATCCACGTCTTGACCACGCGGTGTGCGTTTGCGGAGGGCCGAATGAGATTTGCGCGGGCGGAGCTTAGTTAGGGATAAGAAGAGCGGGATGCTTCTCGTGTCTGGCACGCGTTTGTCAATGTTGAAAGGGTGATAAAATCGTAGGCAAATCAGTAGATGGCAGCGTCTAATTCCAAAACAAGGGCGGCTGAATCGGTGTTGTAATTGCACAAGCTTCAAGAAAAACAGCGACGCAAGTAATTTAACAACGACCCGGAGAAATCTTCTCCTTCTTCAAGTCCTCTATTGCTTGTTCGGACGACACCGACGACGGAATCGGCACGAGAGTCTCCGTCACAATCGCGTCGGGACCTTCCTGCCAGGTCGCGCGGTGCTCTGCCAGCAGTGTCAGAAATGGGGTTATCCAGACTGATAAATCGTCCATACCCTGCTCATAATCGTCCAAATACTTTGCAAGGAGGCGTACCATCCTGCTCGGATTCTCCAAAGCCTTTTTATACTCCACCGGTCCATCGTAATCCGTCTCTCCGGGTGCACAGGCGCGGGAGTGACCATTGATATTGCAGAATTTTGTAGCGGAGAGCAGGGAACCGAAGTACACTGCTAGTTCCGATACACAAGTAGAGGTTCAAAAGAGGTGTTCGGTGGTCGAGCGAACAGGATGAGTGGCGTAACAATTAGATTGACCAAAGAGCTAACTACGAACATTCAGGCTTTTATACTACTAGAGGTGAAACATATGATGAGAAACGGAACAGTGGTACATGTCGGCAACTAACTACATACAGGATAGAGCGGAGCGGGATTCTAGGATGTACGTGAGTTGAGAAATTAAATAGTAAGCGATCAGCGGAGATTGATTAGTGATGTGATGATGTGATAATCAGATGATACCGTTACACCCGCCCTCCAGGCCGGCGCATAGCGGCGGACTCGATCAGTTGTGGTCCTGCTCCATGCCGTCTCCATCTTCACCTGAAATTTCATCAGCCTTCCTCTTCCCCTTCCCATTATCCGAAGTAGACGCAGGGTCCGCAGCCGAGCCGTTGAGTTCGACGACTGGCGAAGGGCCAGGAGCGCCGGAGGCCGTAGCCGAGTTGGCCGGGCCGATGGGATTATCGTTGTTGATTTGAGTCGAGCCGGCGGCAGCGTGGGATGGTCCCGCAACGGGGAAAGTGGACGGAACCATGATGTCGGGGAAACCAGGGAGACCCTGAGTAGGGTGATGAATCGGCGTATCGAGACCCATGCCTCCAAAGCCGAGGGATCCGACCGACGAACGATGGTCAGAGAAGACCGAGTGCGCACGAGACTGCACAACCTGAGCCGACCATTTCTGCGAGCGCGCACGTTTGCGCGAGACAGATGTATCACGCGAGTTATCGCGTGGCCCGTCGTTCTCTCGCGCCAGTCGCTCCTGGGCCCGCTTCTCCTCGTGATATAAATCACGCCGAGAGAGTTCCTCGCGCGCAGCGGAGAGGACCTTGTGCTGGGTCAGAGAGATAACAACATGCTCCTTCGGGTGCACATAGAGGTGAGGCGGCATTATCTGGTGGTCGAGCACCAGCATGTTCTTGGGCGTGGCAGGAGTACTGAAAGGTGCATTGGGACGGACGATAAAACGATGCCCATCAGGGCCGATGCCGAATGTAAGCCAACACAAAAGGCTGTTATCGAGTTCGTTGGCATCCGCGGCAAAGCGAAGGAATCCGGCGGGGTACACATTGGGTAAGCTGTCCCCGGGACCCAGAGAGGCGAGGACCTGATTGAACTGCGAAAACAACTGGAGTGTCTGGACGTGCATCAATTCGAAGTTGCCGTTCGGGTAGCGGAGGATGAGGAGGTAGACGTTGACACGTCGAAGAAAGTTGTGCTCCTCGTTGAACTCCTGAATGGCCTGGGCTCGATCGTCCGGATAGCCATGATCACTGGTCTCGAATTGGTGGTTGGTCCAGAATTCGGGGTCAAACTGAGGCATGAGGGGTAAGTGCGATGATTTGAACGATGTAAATGAGGGGAGTTCGATGGGGGCAAATTCAGCGAGGTCGTCAATTGGATTATATACCCAACCCTGTAGCAGGATTGCTCCAAGGAATAAATCTTCGCCGCTATCGGGTCTCCCCGAGCCATACACTAGTGCCTTTATGTCAGATGCACCTTGTGACTCCAGATAATCAGCAAACACTTGGAGCCGCTTCGCTTGTTCATACGGCATCCAACTCGTGTCCCCCGATTTCCATTTTACTTGAAACAGTGCCTTGGTGCGGCGCCCAAAATGACCGATTATTTCGTCCACAGCCCATTCATTGGTCTCGTCGGCTAAGGATATCCCCAGTTGATTTTCTAACCTTCCGGGAAACTTGCGGTCATCGTTCGGAACATGGATGCGGAGGAGAGACGCGTGAAACACGTCATGAATGCCACGCTGCTTCAAATTAGCGGGGAGTTCAAGTTGGAAGGATTCATTCCCAAAATCTTTGACAATAGCATAGGGACCGATGTACTTGGGAATAAGCTTGCGGGCTAATCCCTTCTCGAATGCGATGTTCTTCGAAGACAGATAAACGAGGTCCCCAGCCACAAATGGAGCTGGTTG